TGTCTCAAAGTGAAATGAGTTTCCCTAAGAGGCTGAGTGCTTCCTCTGTGAAAGTCTTTGTAATCATTATTATTATTGTGATAATTATTATTGTTGTTGCTAGCTAGCATTTATATATTGCTTTAAACTTTGCAAAGCATTTAGTCGTCTGCATGTTGTCTACTCCCTTACACTATAAGTTCCTTGAGGGTAGAGCCTGTCTTTTGCCTTTTTTTTTTATTCCCAGCTCTTCACATAGTGCCTGGCACATAGTAGGCAATTAATAAATTATTGGCTGACATTATTTCATATGTATGGAACTGGGAGGTAAGTGCTATTGTTACCGCCATTTTACAGATGAAGATACTGAGGCTGAGAGAGGTTAATCGACTTACCCAGGGTCACACAATTAAGTAAGCGAGGTGGGATTTGAACTCAAGTTTTCCTGGTTACAAATCCAGTGCTCCATCCACTCTGCCAGCTAGCTGGCATATGGCCACTTGTAATTTATGTTACAGTGGGGATTCCCTTTGTATAGGATTTGAGCTAACTGGCCTCAGAATTCCCTTCTAACTCTAAAATGTTGCTATTCTGTGATTTTATGAAAATGGCTTCATGAACTTTGGATCATTATATAAATGCCAGACATGTATCATATTTCGGAGAATGAGAACTTGGATAAATCAGGACTATAGAAGGAGAGTAAACTGTTTTATTCAGTAGCTTCTTTATACTAATTCCATACCTATATATATATGTATTTATTGTCTCCCCTCCCAATTAAAATGTAAGCTCCTTGTGGGTAGAAATTGTTTCATTCACCGTATTTGTATCTCCAGTGCTTAGCACAGTGCCTGACACATAGTAGTTGCTTAATAAATGCTTGCTGATTGATTACTAACTCACAACCCTTCCCCTCAATGCCCAGTCAGATTCAGAATGGCCAACCATAGGACCGAGGTGCTAGGCTGAATCTTTGAACAATCTTATCTGGGGAAGAAAGACCCCATAAGCAAAGTAAGGACCCAAATAAGATTGCCATGGGATATTTAAATTATGTGAGAAAATCATCTATTTCCAGGAAGCTTATACCTAGAGATTTCCAGAACATTAGGGAGCAGAGAGATCTCCAGGTTCTACACTTTCATTTCACAGAAAAGGAAAGTGAAGCCCCAGATAGGGTAAAGCTGGCCCAATGTCATTCATCTAGCAAGTGACAGAGATCTAACTAGAAACTGACTCGAAGGCCAGAGGTCTTTGCAAAACAATCCCCACACATTTTAGAAGTTTCCATTTGAAATCATATTGTTGATATCCACGGAAATGAACTTCAATTACACATTTCATTAGCCTAGTTTTAGAAACCATCATACTTCAAAGTATCAAAATCCCATTTACTTTTTAAAATGTATAATTCATCCTGGCCTCCTTCCAATATGCCTGAATTTTTTTGGTCCCAATCTATGATTTCATCAGTGTGGAGGAAATTCCTTTTAGCAATTCAGACCATAGAGCACAGATTTAGAGTTGGAAGGACCTTAGAGACCATTCTAGTCCAACCTCCTCATTTTGCAGAGAGAGACCTCGAAGTCAAAAAAGGTTAAGTGATTTGTCAGTCAACTGGCATGTATTAAGTGCCTGCTATGTGTCAGATACCTTGTTAAGCATCTTTGGTCACACTCGTAGCAAGATGCTGAGGCAGGATTTGAATCCAGGTTCTCTAATTCCAGAGGCAGTATTATTTCACTATACTCCACTACCTCCTACAACTCTGCTGGAATTTATGGTCTCTGTTTCTAGAAGTAATAGGTCAAGTGATTTGCCCAATGTCATAGATACCCCTGTCTAATGAGTAGGACTTAAAGCCAGGTTCCTGTCTCTAAGCCACTCTATACCACTCCTGATTTAGTAAAGTTATAGTGGTGGATGTGACAGTACTGACTGCTGAGATTGATGATTGATATGATATGATTTGACACAATATATGACATATATGACACATATACACATCTTTCTTAGACAAATAGTAAGAGATACATGTTTCCATATGATATATGACTACACACATATTATAAACACACACAGACACATACACATACACACACACACACTGTCTTCCTTAGACAGTAAGAGAGGGAGAGGAAAGACAACCTTCTTTGGAGATTATCTGTGGAGGGAAAGTCCCTTGTAAAGAGAGGTCAAATTTTTTTTCACTAAGGTGAATTTTCACATTGGGAAGTTCCCAATACCTTTTCTGTGTGATTGTATACTGCTGAGCAGTTTACTCCCCCTCTGGGTTCCTCATATACTTCCCTTCTGCTTCCCTGAAATACGTGGCCTGACCCCCAAAATCACACCCTAGGAAAAAAAGCAGTAGGCCGAGGGTCTTCCATCCTTTCTGGGAGGGAGAATGCTTCCCACCCAGCTCCCTCCAAACCCCACTACAATATTTTTTGAAGTTGCTTGAATCCAACTGCTCTCCCCTCCAAGACAGGCCTAACAGGAGCTCAAGCGAACCCTTTATCAGGTTAGCTCTTTTGCACGTTGGTGTGGGACTGAGCCATAACTAGTAGAGGATAAAAGAGGTTTTGCCTCAAGCCACCAACACGGGGGAAGGGAGAGGTGCTACCTTTAAAAGACCACCAGTTCGACTATTCTCTGCCTTAATGCCACCATCCCCAGCTGTTTTTGCCCCAGGTGAGAAACTGTTCAGTTAGTCATGGGGGGAGGGGACAAGATCACTCAAACAATTAACTAAAAAGCATTTATTAAGCCCCTACTAAACTCCGGGCACTGTACTTAGTGCTAAGTTTATGAAGAGAGAAACAAACCCTTCGCTGCCCTCAAAGAGCTTTCATTCTGTAGTCCATTAGTATGAGCTAAGGAAAAGTAAATTTGCTGAAGGGTTTTTCACACCAACACTGCACTCACTCCTTGGTCAGTTGCCTTCCCTGTAAATGAAAGAGGAGGTTAGCATTCAGAAGGTTAAGAATAAGACTAGCAGCCCAGGCACCTTATAAGCAAACGCCCTGAAACACAAAGGTGCACGTGAGCTCGCACACATAGATATACTAGGACAGGCACCCCATCAAAGTAAAACCCCAAAACATAAGGTCCCCTTGGGCTCTTTCTCTGGCGGCGGTCAACTGCAAGGTCCCGCAAAAGCCAGCAGAGGGCGCCCCGCCCCAAGGGAGGGGAGCAGCCGGGAGAGAACCAAACGTTATGGAGAGGAAAGGCTCCGCAGAGTCAGACGCACCTCCGTGGATCCGCCACTTAGGGCGCAGAGTCTACAGGGCCAAGGAAAAGTAGGAGGGTGCAGAGCCGACCGCCCCCCCAATCCCCGTTGGCCCGGGGACCGGGCAGGAATCCTTCCTAGGAATTACACCACTCCCGTGCCGGGCAAGACAAACGCTGGGCGCAGTGGACCTCCGGTGTTGCATGGGTGCACAGATGTGTATATATCTAGTGCGGGAGGGGGGAAAAAGTCAAGAAGGGTGACAGAGGGCCCAGTGCAAGTACTCACTCAATCCATGCACGTTTTTTTTTTTTTTTTTTGCTCAGACTCCGCGCGAGAGACAGACCTCAGAGGCCGACCCGCTGCGTCTCTCCCTTTGCAAAGCGCACAGCGAGAAAGGAATCATCCTTATCCCTCTAGTCCCCCACCCTCGCCCCCCCTTGCCAACTCTGCACCCCTTCGGCCGGTCCCCGCCGCTGCAATGAGCCCCCCCTTGGACTGGACCTGGCGGGACGCCTAGAGCCCCGGTTGCATTGCCCTAGGAGAAAGGAGGGGGGCGGTACATTTTGCAGGAGGAGGAGGAGGAGGAGAAGGGGGGTGGGGGAGAAAGAAAATTACGCGGAGACCTGCCAAGCGCCACCACCGCCGCCGCCGCCGCCACCGCCGCCGCCGCCGCCGCCGCCGCCGCCGCCGCCTCTGAGCTGAGGCGAGCAGCCGGACTGTCGACTGACTTCCCCGGGCATCTCCGTCCAGCGGGTCGCAGAACTCGGCGCAGCCTGAGCTGCCGCTACCCGGAGCCTGCATCCAGCTCATTCGGCTCCTCGGGGGTGGAGAAGTGGGGGGGTGGGGTTGTTTGGGGGGAAGAAAGGGGAGGGGGAAAAGAGAGAGAGAGAGAGAGAGAGAGAGTCAGAGTCAGTGGTTTCCATGGTGATGGAGCTGAAAGTGCAGGAAATTTAAAGGCTTGGACCCTTCGAGACAGACAAACCGGTGCCAACGTGCGAGGAGCCGCCGCCGCCGCCGCCGCCGCCGCTGCTGCTCTAGCTCCCGCTCTCGCTCTCGCTCCTGCTCCTGCTCCTGCTCCCGGGCTCCGGCTCCGGCTCCGGCTCCTGCTCCTGGTCCAGCTGCTGCCTTTGCCACCGCCGTTATCGCTGCTGCTGCTGCCGCCGCTGCTGCTACCGCCGCCGCTGCTCCTGCCCTTGCTGCCGCTGCCGCTACTCCCGCCACTGCCGCCGCCGCCGCCGCTGCTGCTGCTGGAGACTGCCCGACAGAGCCCCGAACACCAGGCTGAGGGGAGCGCCCCCGGGACCCCTACACAGGAGTCCACTCACCCTGAAGCGCCCCTGCGGAGAAGCAAGGCAGCGCTGTGAGCAGGAAGCGAAGGAGGAGAGGGAAAAGCCACGCCACCGCTACCGAGCGAGACAGGCGAGTCCCCGCGCCCCGCGCCTCCTCCAGTCCGGAGAAAGGACAGACGAGCCAGGGACACCCCAGCCACGACCGCCGTCCTTGGAGTCACTTTGGATGCGCCCCTTCCCCAGCTAAAAAAGAGAGGACGAGTTAGAAGAAAGTTCACCCACCCTTATCACCACCCTCGGTGGGAGAAAGGAGGGCAGAGGGACGAGCATTTTCTCCCATGCTGTCGGTCCTCCGCTCCCCTTGGTTTTGGTGAGCTGCTCCCCGAGAGGGAAGACCGCCTGAGGGGGCTTGGCGTGATTTTCGTTCGGGGGGTGGGGAGGGTGGGGCGGGGGACCCAGGGAGATCGCTGCAGCCCCAGCCCCGCGCCGGAGGCATGGAGCGGTGCCCCAGCCTGGGGGTCACCCTGTACGCCGTGGTGGTGGTACTGGGGCTCCGGGCGGGGCCGGCGGGCTGCCAACACTACCTCCACATCCGCCCGGCCCCCAGCGACAACCTGCCCCTGGTGGACCTTATCGAGCATCCGGACCCTATCTTTGACCCCAAGGAGAAGGATCTAAACGAGACGCTGCTCCGCTCCCTGCTGGGGGGTCACTACGACCCGGGCTTCATGGCCACCGCGCCTCCAGAGGACCGTCCAGGCGGGGGTGGGGGGGCCGCCGGGGGCGGCGAGGACCTGGCCGAGTTGGACCAGCTGCTGCGGCAGCGGCCGTCGGGGGCCATGCCGAGCGAGATCAAAGGGCTGGAGTTCTCCGAGGGCTTGCCCCCGGGCAAGAAACACCGGCTCAGCAAGAAGCTGCGCAGGAAGCTGCAGATGTGGCTCTGGTCGCAGACCTTCTGCCCAGTACTCTACGCATGGAACGACCTGGGCAGCCGCTTCTGGCCCCGCTACGTGAAAGTGGGCAGCTGCTTCAGCAAGCGCTCTTGCTCCGTGCCGGAGGGCATGGTCTGCAAGCCGGCCAAGTCGGTGCACCTCACTGTGCTGCGGTGGCGGTGCCAGAGGCGAGGGGGGCAGCGTTGCGGCTGGATCCCCATCCAGTACCCCATCATTTCGGAATGCAAGTGCTCTTGCTAGAACTCGGGGTCCCTCTTGCCCAGAGCCCAACTCTCAATCCACTCCCTAGCCACCCACCCCACCCCCATTCTGCCACCCTCCCAAATCGGATTCAATGAACTTTTTTTTTTTTTTTGGGCTACAGAGACATAGCTTTCTGGTTCATGTAATGCACTGTTAACTGTGTAGGAATGTATGTGTGTGTATATACGGTCTCAGTTTTAATTTACTTATTAAAAGGTCAGTATTATACGTTCAAAGTTACCGGCTTCTACTGTATTTTTAAAAAAAGACAAAAGGAAAAAAAAAAGCAGAGAGAGAGAGACTGTTATTCTGGTTGTTGCTAATGTTACCCTGCTATTTATATCCAGAGCACTTCGCCTGGCGAAGCAGAAAAAGTTATTTTTTTTTTAAGTACAAAGATGAGGGGGAAAAAACTTTTTTTTTGTAGAAGGACTTTTAAAAAGAAGAAGCTATTTTCCATTCTTCGGAAAGTGTTTTTGTTTGTTTTTTTGTTCTTGTTTTCCTTGGACCTCGCAGAAGCTATAGAGTTCAATGTTATTTTACAGTTATTGTAAATAGAGAGAACAAATGGAATGACTAATCATTGTAAATTAAGAGCACCTGCTATTTATTCTTTATAATATCATCCCGTGTAGTAAAAGAGAGAGAGAAGTGCAGAGCAGAATTAAAGTCAACCACTAAAACCGACTCTGCGCCTGGGCACTGCCAGTCTATTTGTTGACCCTCTTTCCTGGCTGAGGGGGGTGGATGGACGGCGGGCGGGTGTTGGGGGAGGTGGGCAGTGGGGTGGGGGGGTCCTCACGTGGATTTTCCTTGAATGGAGAGGAGCTTCTCCAGCTCCCGGGACTCTCCTCCATTGGGGGTGAAGAAGAGGTTATCACCTCCTAATGAGTTTCTCAGCGGTCGCTGGCGGGGGTGGGGGGAGGCAGTGCGGTGAAATGAGGAGGGGGACACGGTGATCTCAAACTACCTCTCTTTGGAATCACATGGCTCCTTCCGAAATCCAGCTTTTTTTTTTTTTCTCTCCCAGTTACTAAAACTCCATCTCGTCTTGACCTCGACACCCAGCCGGCCTCCCGGAGCTGACCCTAAGCTGGGCTGTAGGGCGGGGGGCGGGGTGTGGGGGGGAGACAGCCGCTTTGTCCTGCCTGACAGGCTGTTCACAATGGGGACACGTGTCTTTCACACCTACCCTGGGGGCGGAGTGCAGCTGAAACTTGACCCCCTCTGAATGGGAGGGGGAGGAGGGGAGGAGGGAGATCTGAGCGCCCACCCAGATCCCAACACCCTCCCGCCTCTCCTCTACCCCACCCCAAGATCTAGTCCCCGTTAACCCTTTGAGCGCCTAGAAAGCAACGGAGGAAACGCTGCCGCCAAGGTGCGAGTAGAAGTAATCTGTTTTAAACTGGGAGAGGGGTGTCAAGGCCATGCATGCATACACACACACACACACACACACACACACACACACACACACACACCTTTCTGTACGGCCAGAGCCCAAGGCATATGTGTATGTCTGTGTGTGTGTGTGTGTGTGTGTGTATGCCTTTTAGCCGCAGGCTAGAGATATTTCAGAGTATGTCCTAAAGATCCAGGTAACCTCCCCTCCAGTCTTGTCACATATCTGGAGAGATCCCGCGGGCTTTGGACCAGGGCGGGGGAGGCTGGTTCTCTGGAACAAGGCACTTTGCAGCTCTGGTCTCAGTGGCGTGGGTGAGGGGGCGGGGTGGAGACTAGGGAAAGCTGCCTCTAAAGTCGCCTTTTAGCAATTTCACACCAATACATGCCTTGGGGTGGGGGTGGGGGCGCCAGAGGGGAGGGAAAGAGTTTATATCCAATATGATTTGCACCGAGGACTTGGGAGAAGAATGGTTAGCCCTGGGGAGTGTTCTTTCTGTATCCCTTGCTTCTGATTAATGAATCCATAGAACTCGGAGAAAAAACTTACCCTTGTCCCTTCCTTTCCTCCCTCTCTCCCATCGGCACCCACCACTGTCCCCCCGCCCCCTCAAATCCCCTAAAAGAAAGACACCCTCTCCTCCCCACCCCCACCGCCTGTCTGGCGTTGCGCTCCTCCCCTAGCCAGCTCGGCGGGCCGCAACATAGCATAGCATGGCATCTAGGTCTCTCTCCGTTTCTCAGGCGGGCAATACTGAGCACACCCAGCGCTACCCCTCCACGTGGGCCAGCTACCTGACACTGCGGCTCAACACTCCCTTTATTTATCTTGGACTCCAGAGCTCCTCTCCTTTCCCTGGCTCCCCTCCCTTCGGATGGCCACCCCACCCCCCTGCCACCTCCCGCCCCCCCCACCCCCTCCTTGCAACGCCTCCTCCCTCGGCTCCCACCGGGACTCTCCCAAGTCACCGAGAATTCACGCTAATTATCTCCAACCTCCGTTGGGTTCCCCTGTGCCGGGTCAACCCCCCCATTCCCCCACCCCTACCCAGTCCCCCCAGCCCAGCCCTAGGATTTCTTCCCACCCTCCACCCCAGGCCCAGCCTCTTTGGCTCCTCGTTTCAATAGCCAACCCCCTCCCCTTCTCCGTCTGTCTCTGTCTCTGTCTCTGTCTCTGTGTATGTGTATGTGTGTGTGTGTACGTGTATGTGTGTGTCTCTGCCTGTCTCTCTCTGTGTGTCTCTGTCTATCTCGTAGTTTAGGGTATTCATTAACTGAGTGCCAAGGAATAACGGCATTATTCCCCCCCAGAGAAGGCACCCTGCCCCCGCGACTATCTGAGGCTTCATTGTAAAAGGATTAAAAGTTAAAGACCTCCATCTTATGATTCTTCCATTTAATCTTCGTGGCGCCTGGGAGACATGCTCGATGGATGATGGCTTTTAAAATATTCCTAATGTCGGCTACCTTTTAAGACTCCAAGCCGAGCAAACAAACGTAATTTATTTCCAGAAGAAAGGGGATATTGAGATGTTTAAGTTTATGAACTGCCGTCCCCATGTATATTTGTTAGATTCTGACAAATACCCAAATAACATTAAAATCAGCCATTCATCACTTATGAATTTATGCAAAACTTTCTGCGCCCCGGGCCAATTTTTTTTAGACAGAGTTTCACTTGCAAAAGGGGCTGACGGGGCGGCGGAGGGGGGCAGGGTGGGAGTCTCAAAAAAAAAAAAAAGCCGAAAGCAAGAATTTTCATGCCTGGTAAACACGCGAATTATGCGAAGAGAGTTATTCCCAGCTGGGCCCGCAGCCAAGGTTCCAAGAGCCATAGCGAGTGCCCCCCACCCCCATGTTGGAAATGTCATTGGATTACAATGCGAGGTCTTCCCCCTCGGCAAGAGCCCCCTCCCCTAAGCCGGTCTCCCTCCCCCTCCCCACCCCTTTTCATTTGGAAAACCCTCTCGCAGCCGGCGAGCTTCTCCTTTTTCACCTCCTCTCCCTAAGTGATCCAGGGAGGCAGGAGCAGAGCGCAGTAGTGAAAAGTCAAACAAACAAGAGAACTCTGGGCTAGGGAGAAGCCAGTGGCTCTCCAAAGCTGCTCGTTGGCGTTCAACCCACAAGACACTTGCCAGGATAATGGCCAGAGAGGGAAGGTGGTTATAGCGGAACCTGGACGGCTGCTCTTGGGGTCTGGGCTTCATGCTTAATCTTTCTCCAACGAGTCACATTTTTTAGTTGACTTGAGAGAAAAGGAAGGCTCTCTGGTCAGATAAACAGAAAGGGCTGTCCTCTAGGGTCAGCTAGTGCCCATCTCCTGCCAAGAGGAATATTGATCTCTGTAGCGTCTGCTGCCTTGACAGCCTGTCTCTCTGGATTTATGCAGCTGCTCGGAGGGACACTGCAGTGCAGAGAGAATGGAGATTTATAACTATTATAGCTCCAGAAAGAGGGCAAACATGAGTTACCAATAATAATAATAATAATAACTCATGAAAAGCTCCAAAAGCCCCCACTCACTCATATTCACACACCACTTACACTTGAAGTGATTAAATGGATCCACCCATCAAATGTGAAACCTGTACTCAACATACACACACATACACACACCCCAACACAAACTCCACCCCACCCTGCTCCCTTGCTAGAGACAAAATGAGAAAGGCCAAATGTCCAAGAAAAACCAGGTTCCTTTCTTAACACCCTTTAAGAATATTCGGGGAGTGGGTTCTGTTCACTGTTATTTTTCAGGCTTTATAAATTCAAACCTCAGCTTCTTCGACTCCTGGGCAACAGGGTTGAAACTTGGTGGCAGCTGCAATAAGAAATTGAATGGGTGATGTTAACGGCACTTTGGACTGAGTTCGTGCTGGATGAGGACAGCAGCATGGGGGTCTCAAGTGAATGTATGTGAAAGGACAATAGAAATTCTGCTGGATATGCAGACTTGAAGGAATCAAATCCTGGCTGAGACACAAACTCTCTGAGCTTGTTTCCTCATTGGTAAAATAGGTATTTGTATTATTATAATAATGCTGGCAACAAATTGCAACAAACAGCAACAGTAAATGGGTTGCAAAAGAAATGCTCAGTGCTGGAGGGACTGGGAGAAGATAGGCAAACTAATAAAAACACTATTGGTAGAGTTATACACTGGGCCTTGTTAAACAATAGAGAAAAAATTGGCATTAGTATGTAAGAGGAAAAATTATCCCTTTTTTTTTCTCTTCTATTTTCCCAGAGAAATCGCCTGGAAGATGTTATCATAATTGGTTAGAAACTGCTTCAACTAAGCTTATCTGTCATGGAAAGAGTACTATATTCAGTGGGAAGACTTGAGTTTGAATACTGTGTCTGCTATTTGCTGCCTCGGTGACTTATAAATCATTTCATTTGTCTATGTCTTAGTTTTCTTATCTGAAAATGAAGGAGAGGTTGGGTAGATGCTCTCTAAACTTCCTAGCACCTCCAACTATATGATACTATGGGACATTTATTGATTATTTATAAACTATGATTTATTGAAGGGATTGCAACCTGCCTTCTTAATGGAAGTATCTCACCCATCCCCCATACCCTGCTATCAAATCACAGTATCTCAAAGTATTGAAACATAACCCCACCCCCTTCTTCCGGACAAACTCTTCTCCCTTGACTTCTAAAACTGCTCTCCTAGTTTTCCTCCTATCAGCCTCAGTTCCTTCTCATTTCCTTAGCAGGATTCTCATCCTTCAGGCCCCTAATCACCCTTCAGGTTCCCTTTAGGTGTATATAGATGCACCCATCCACCAAGACTCTATCCTAAACACTTTATACTTTTCTACAGCTCATCTGAATAATTTCATCAGCCTCCAATTACCACAGTGTGAAGTTCAATCTCAGATCTTTGGCTATAGCTTTAATATCTGCCCAGAATGACATTTCCAATTACATTTTGGATATGTCCATCTGGATGTCTAATCCATCAAGACCTTAAAATCAAAATGTCAAAAATTGAGCTTATCATCTTCCTTCCTAAATCCACTTCT